GGCGAATACACGTATACTCATACGTGATTAACGGAGGGGCGGTCAGCTCTGCATCGTGGGAGATTGTTCTTAAATAATCCCAATTTGCATCAGTTAATCTACCCCGTTACAGCTTACTAATATATTAATATTAAACCTCTTATCTACCCTTGCTTCATTTTTTAGATTTTCTTTTTACTTGATTTTCATTGAGTAAAGTCATTGAGAGCAGTTGGACATCAGTTGACAAGTAAAAAAATTATAAAATAATAAGCTTACTGATATTGTTTGCAAAAAAGGGAGTAAGTAAGAAAATATGATGAAGTTAGGTCATGCATCAAATGATGGTTGTTCACACAATAAATGTTAATTGATCCTTTGTAAATCAGTAGAATATTCGAGTTGCCTGTAGTAAAGTGAATATTTATTTGACATTTTACTGTGAACAGTTTTGGTTTTCGCTCCGGCAACAAGGACTGTTGATGCTTTGAATTTAAATTCCTTGGGTTCTGGCCATATTCTTATTATAGATTGTTGTTAAATATTCTGCTATTTGTGAATACGAGGGTGATCCAATAAGTACTTAGCCTCATCGCCACTCTCGCAAAAGAAATATTCTATCACGTAGTACAACCTTCTCGATGGTTACTGTCAAGATTTCAGCCGGATCGGAGTTGTAGTTTATTTTTGAGAGCGTGTGAAAGCAAGTGTGTTCGTTGATTTTTGAAAAATAGAAAAAGAGCAGTATCGGTCGGTGATTCGATTCTTGTTTTTGGAAGGGAAATCGCGTAGCGAAATCAAAAAGCATTTGGATGCTGTGTACGGTGACTCTTCTCCTTCGATGGCGACCGTCAAAAATTGGTTTAACGAGTTTCAACGTGATCGCACGTCGATTTTTGAAGAGCCACGTCCAGGTGCTCCGAAAACGGCTACCACGGAGGATAACGTGACGAAAATTCAAGATCTCGTATTGGCAGATGGACGATTGAAGGTGCGTGAGATAGCTAAGATCGTAGGCATCTCAAAAGACCGTATGGGTCATGTCCTGCATGAAATTTTGGGCATGAGAAAGCTGTCGCCCCGATGGGTGCTGCGTTTGCTCACTCCGGACAACAAGCGCAACCGTGAGACAACTTCGGAGGAATGTCTGACGCTGTTTAAGCGCAATCCGAAGGAGTTTCTGCGTCGTTTCATTACAGTCGACGAAACATGGATCCACTGGTATACACCAGAGACCAAGGAACAGTCGGAACAGTGGACTTTACCCGGCGAAGGTGCTCCGAAGAAAGCGAAGACTGCCCCATCGGCCGGGAAGGTGATGGTCACCGTTTTCTGGGATTCACAAGGTGTGATCTACATCGACTACCTAGAGAGGGGCAAAACGGTCACAGGGCTGTACTATGCCGAATTATTGGGCCGATTCGACGTCGAATTGCAGATAAAACGGCCCATTTGGCGAAGAAGAAAGTGCTCTTCCACCATGACAACGCACCGGCTCACACCTCCGCCGTCGCCATGGCCAAATTGGTCGAATTAGGCTACGAACTGCTGCCCCGTCCACCGTATTCTCCAGATTTAGCCCCGTGCGACTTCTTTTTGTTTCCAAACTTAAAAAAGTCACTCGCCGGGCAGAAATTTGAGTCGAATGAGGAGGTAATCGCTGCCACGGAAGCCTACTTTTCAGACCTCGAGGAAACGTTTTTTTCAGACGGGTTAAAGAAGTTGGAGCATCGCTGGGCCAAGTGTATCGAACTAAAAGGAGACTATGTTGAAAAATAAAACGCCACTTTTCCAAAATTTTCGTTTTTCTTTTGTAGGCTAAGTACTTATCGGACCACCCTCGTAAAGTCACTTAGGAGTGTAAAAAAGGTTTCTATATTGTTTCCCGCAACATTGGCCGAACCTAGCCATGTGTTTTTTCGTTATACAACACAAACTTGAACAAGTAATTATTTGCTTAGCAACATTGCTGTGAGCATTAGTAGATGCAGTTTACTGTGTCATCACCAAGATACACCTCGTCCTAGATAATTTCTATCCTTCGCCCCATTCTTTCCCTTCCCGTCCCCCCAGTCATAGCAAGAACCTTAAGAGGGAAGAGTGTTTCCGTGAACAGTGATATTATAAATATCAATGCATTGGCCTTCATCAGTCAGTTGTTTGAATTGCTCCAACTTTTTCGATTTTTGTGACTAGCACCCCTTTGGCCTCTACAAGATATGAGTCCCGAGATACGGGATAGCTACCCCGTATTGCCGCGTTCTGTCATTGGATCATTTGAATACTAAACTACTGTTGGATACTGGACTACGAACGTTATTGAATATGTCAGATCAAGAATTATTACATTAAATTTCTATCACCATAGTAGTGAGGGGTGATAAGATATCAAAACTAGATATCAAAATTGTGCTATTTTCTTGTGCTCTTCCACTTCAGTAACCGAGACCAATAAAGTCAATCATTCATTGAACCAGTGTCATGCATTATTCGACCCTACCGCCAGTTCACTCTATTAAATCTTCAATGAAATTTTCACTACGACTTGATCTTGAGTCGAAAGAAACCGTCTGAGTAAGCTACGTGCGTGATCAATAAGGTCTTTCAAGCTGGATTTCTGAAGTGAATTGAGTATTAGGGTAGTGCTATGTTATTGGGATAACTGTTGCTTCATTAATTTCTTGTTTTTCAATTATTTTCGAGCAACTGGAAACGGGAAGACACATTGAAAATGTGATCATCAATACAGATAGAGAGATAAATTTTAGACTTTTGATACTACGACAACCCTAACTTGAAGAAATGTCACTCTTACTTTTTAAAGAACCTTTGCTACGTTTATGAGGATACTTGTGTAAATGAAAATACTGAGCTCATGGCTTGCATATCGCAATTAGCCAGCCTTGGTTATTACGCACGATCATATTTGAATACTATATTTAATGATACTGAATCACGTTAATTGGTATAAAAAATACATTTATACCTCAATTCTCCTAATAACCTGTTACAGCAATCCTAACTGTTGACTGACTTCAATTAATAACAGAGAGTCATGGCTTTGCCGATTCGTTGGCTCTTGCAAGGATTTGTTCGATTCGTTCAGACTGAGAGTATATGCATATTCACTCTCATGTGTGTTTCTCTGTCCGAGGTGCGTTGGATGAGCTGATTGACAGAGCCACACAATGTCGCTTCTGCTTGTAGATACCTACACCTTTTAATCACACTTGCACCGCGTAGGTCGAAAGCGAAAGTGAGAGAATCGATCAAAGAGGCAGGAAAAGAAATGCGATTCCGAGCGAACATCGAAGTCTTTTTCTACCGGTCATAGTTATATTAATGTAGTCAGCCTATAGTATAGATGCGCACCTCAATGAATGTCAATTCGTTACATTATACGAGGTGTGTTCAAAAAGTAAGGTGACTTTGTATTTTTAAGAAAAAATATTTATTTATTTATCAATATTTATGTTGTCCCCTTCAAAGTAATCCCCATCAGATACAATACACTTATGCCAACGGTTTTTCCAATCCTCAAAGCACTTCACATAAGCACTTTTCGGTATAGCCTTGAGCTCTTCCAGCGATGAAGTCTCTATCTCTTCAATCGTTGCAAATCTCTGTCCTTTCATAGGTCTCTTTAGTTTTGGGAACAAGAAAAAGTCACATGGGGCCAAATCCGGTGAATATGGTGGCTGAGGCATGATTGTGGTGTTGTTTTTGGCCAAAAAATCTCTCACAAGCAAAGATGAGTGAGCAGGGGCATTATCGTGATGCAAAAGCCATGAATTGTTTTTCCACAATTCTGGGCGTTTTCTTCGTATTGCTTCTCATAAACGGTGCATAACTTCAAGATAATACTGTTTATTGACCATACGTCCATATGGTAAGAAATCCTGATGCACCACGCCATGGTAATCAAAGAAAACAGTGAGCAAAACTTTGACATTTGATCGAGCTTGGCGTGCTTTTTTCGGTCTTGGCTCATGTGGGCTCTTCCATTGGGACGATTGGACTTTGGTTTCGATATCATATACCCATGATTCGTCACCAGTTATGACCCTTTTGAGTAAATCTGGGTCGTCGTTGACGTCATTCAACAGTTCTTGAGCGATGCTCATGCGACGGTTCTTTTGGTCAAAATTTGGCAATTTTGAACAAACTTCGCTGACACACGTCTCATGCCCAAAACGTTACAAAAAATTTCATGGCACGAGCCAAACGATATACCAACATCCTCAGCAACTTCTCTGATAGTGGTTCGACGATTTTCCAGAACAATTTTCTTCACTGCTTGAACGTTTTCATCAGTTGTTGACGTGCTTGAGCATCCAGAGCGAGGCTCGTCATTGGCATCTTCCCGGCCATCTTGGAAGAGTTTGTACCACTTGTAAACATTTTTTTTACTCAGAACAGTTTCACCGTATGCCACCGTCAACATTTCAAGTGTTTCGGAGCACTTTATTTTATTTTTTACACAAAATTTGATGCAAATCCTTTGATCCATATTTTTCGATAGCAAGAAATCGCCGAGCACGCAAAAGACTTATAACCTTTACGCCTCTCACAACCAAACAAAAAATGCTATACACTTGAAACTTGGTACAGATGTTCGGAAAGAGTGTACCAACATAACAAAACAAAAAAATCGATAATCGAAAGTACGTTGCCCGTGAAATTTGAAAAGTCACCTTACTTTTTGAACACACCTCGTATACTATATAAATCCAATAGATTTTTCAATATTTTCATGTTACGCAATTTATAATACGAAAAATGACTTAACGTTTAAATGTAAAATATATCAGTGAAGTCTCTTCTTCTTAAAAAAAGTGTCAAATAACAATTAAAATAATTTTAATTATCTTTATAAAGTAAATGAATTATTCAAATTACGGTCACTCACGTGTGTGGAGTATCGCAATTTGAATAGTAAATGAAAAGAATATATGAATTTTTCAAGTTAGCTTTATTTTTTATTAATTATGTACATTTTTCCTAAACTCTTTTTTCTTTAGATATGTTATAACAGAATTACTTCAAAGTGATCTACACAAAATCATAGTTAGTCCACAGCGTCTTAGTGTAGACCATATTAAAGTATTTCTCTATCAAATTTTAAGAGGTAAGTAGCTACTTTGATTTTAATATATATGTATACTAGTATATTGTAACGAAGTACGACTGATAAACCAAGAATTAGTTGTAATCGCGATCGTACACATAAATCATTTTAAAATGGATGGATATGGCTGGCGCAAACGCCCCGACGGCTGAATAATATATTGGGCGTATATATTGATCATGCGCAAAAATATTACTAGAACGGGGATTGATGATAAGTAAAACCCAATGACACTCAATTAAATAAAGTTATTTCAACACATTTTAATAAAAAACAAAAATGGCATGCATACTAATCCAATAAAAGGTTAGGTGTTAGCGTCGACCGCCTCATTATGTTACATATCAACTTAGGAGTGAAGAAAATCAAGTGTCTAAAAGATAATATAGGGAAATGAACTAAACGGGATTTCAAAACTGGAGTAATATTAATTCATGGAAAATTATCCAATTTTTCGAAAAATGAAAATTTGTTCTTGAATTTGGAGGTTAAATTTGTAATTTTTTGAAACAAATGATTTTTTCCGATTTTGAGAATGATATCGAAGTTTTTTTAAACGAAAGACGTCATTTTGTAGTTCTTAGATCGAGCAATAAGTATATGACGTTCAAAAAAACTTTTCTTTTTAAAGTCATCCAGAAAACCAAGGTCAAAAGTCGATTGATGTAAGTGGAGATTTCATAGATTTTAAGGACATAATAGTTACATATATATGCGTAATGTTACTCAAGTTGATATTTAATGTGACATTGATAGAAATGTTGAAGGTTAATGCAACATTTCTTGAACGCTATTCATTAATGATAATCGCTATTTGCAAAGAAAAATTACTACTAGCATGTAGTAATATCCATTATAATTACTATGCATGTGTGTAATATATATATATATATATATATACAGGGTGGGCCATTTTAAATGACCCAGTCGATTTTCTCGGAAACTATGGGGGTTAGCGAAAAATAGTTCTGATGAAAGTTGCCCAACTTTGAGGGGCACATATCCCTATGACCTTGCTTTTGACCTCTAAGGTCATGTTCAAGGTCATTTGAAGGTCAACTTTGTTTTATTAAATAGGAACCCCTATTTTTGACCCCGGATTCGACAAGAGCGGAAAATTCTACGTTCAGATGAGGTAATATGAGTGGAGTCAGGGTTCGAAATTAGAACAAAGTAAAATTGTAATGTTTATTTTATTGTACTAGAGGATTACAAGGTCAAATACAACTTATGTCTGCTATTTACGAAGTTATTTATTAAGCATATTCTAAATATCATTCATTTAACCTCGAAGCAAATGTTCGAAGTTACCTCCATTTGCTTGGAGGCATAAATCGAACCGCCTCTGGAAATGGCGCACAGTGCCAAGCAAAGTTTCTCTTGGTATTGCAGCGCATGCTCGGCGAATGCGATCCTGCATGTCTTCTCTAGTTGTCGGCTGCTGTTCAAAAACAACATTTTTCAAATAGCCCCATAAATAAAGGTCTGGGGATGTGAGGTCAGGTGAACTTGCAGGCCAGTTAACTGGACCTCCTCGTCCGATCCATCTACCATTATAGTTTTCATCCAAAAAAGCCTGTACAATTCGAGCGAAATGTGGTGCTGCACCGTCCTGCTGAAGCCACATTCTTTATCGCGTGTGTAAATCAACATCTTCCATCATTGCAGGTAACTGATCTCTTATTAGCTGTAAATAACTATTCCCGTTAACGTTTTCTTTAAAAAAATAAGGACCGATCAAATAACCATTGATGATTCCACACCAAACCATCAGGCTACAACGCCTCTGGTGATTCACAGTTCTGTGCCAATGAGGATTTTCATTCGACCAATAGTGGCAATTATGCCTATTAAGTTCTCCGTCACTTTGGAATTTAGCCTCATCAGAAAAAAGGACATAGTTGAAAAAAATTGGATCATTCTGTATCATCTGTAAGGCTCATTGGCAAAACGCAATTCGCTGTTGGAAATGTGCAGGTTGTAACTCCTGGACCAAAGTAATATGATAAGCATGATATTTTAGGACTCTGAGAATTCTTAAAACTGTTCTTCTTGCTATACCATGCCCTCTTTCAATTCGGCGACTGCTGGTATGAGGATCAAGGTGAATGATTGCAAGAACAACCAGAACACGTACATCATTTGCGTCATACACGTGACGCCTGCGTTGCCTAACCAAACGTCCACGACGAGCTCTCTGAGTTATGCGACTTATTTGTCTATGATCTGGATGTTGTCGGTGAGGAAAGCGTTCAGCGTAAAGTCTAGCTGCAGCACGATAATTATTATGACTAGTCCCTAAAACCAATAACATAACCATAATCTCATTCGGCTGATAGTCAGGCATTTTTAGAGGTTTCAATCACTCAAACAAAATTAAGATCACGTAATTTCAATCGGAACTTCCAAGACTGATGGAAATAGAAAATTTGAAAAATTACTCAAATTTCTTGATTAATTTCCTTTTGATGATTTTCCAAAATTTGGAACGTAAAGGAATTGAAGTTATTTTGTTTTTGTTAAGTTGAAGAATTTTTCATACATTTGTAGTATGATGTTGCATTAGTAATTTTTTGCAATGAATATTTAATTGACATGTAACATCATTCTGATTTTATGTCATTACAAAATACAAATAATAACTTTAAGAATATCATCTGAATTTTGGAATGGTGAGGTCAGAATATGACAATAAATATCTACATAATTCTTTAATGAGAAAAACATAAAAATGAAAGCTTAGTCTGTAACCGAAGATGAAGGCGGAATGACCTTGAACATAACCTGAAAGTTCAAAGGCAAGGTCATACAGATATGTACCCTTGAAAGTTGAAGAAACTTGTTTGAAGAGTTTACGCTTAACCTTAGGCGTCCCAGATTATTCCGGCCGGAAAAATTACCTGTACATGGCCTTGAGGTTCATGCAGATCCCATACATATTACCTTATCTAAACGTAGAATTTCTCGCTCTTTCCGAATCCGGGGTCAAAAATAGGGGTTCCTATTTAAAAAAACAAAGTTAACCTTCAAATAACCTTGAACATGACCTTAGAGGTCAAAGGCAAGGTCACAGGGATATGTTCCCCTCAAAGTTGGGCAACTTTCATCTGAACTATTTTTCGCTAACCCCCATAGTTTCCGAGAAAATCGACTGGGTCATTTAAAATGGCCCACCCTGTATATATATATATATATATATATATATATATATATATACGAGGGTGGTCCGATAAGTAATTAGCATCACCGCCCGATAGCGCCACTCTCGCAAAAGAAATATTCTATCACGTATCACCTTCTTGATGGTTACTGTCAAGATTTCAGCCGGATCGGAGTTGTAGTTTATTTTTTAGAGCGTGTGAAAGCAAGTGTGTCCGTTGATTTTTAAAAAATGGAAAAAGAGCAGTATCGGTCGGTGATTCGATTCTTGTTTTTGGAAGGGAAATCGCGCAGCGAAATCAAAAAGCATTTGGATGCTGTGTACGGTGACTCTTCTCCTTCGATGGCGACAGTCAAAAATTGGTTTAACGAGTTTCAACGTGATCGCACGTCGATTTTTGAAGAGCCACGTCCAGGTGCTCCGAAAACGGCTACCACGGAGGATAACGTGACAAAAATTCAAGATCTCGTATTGGCAGATGGACGATTGAAGGTGCGTGAGATAGCTAAGATCGTAGGCATCTCAAAAGACCGTATGGGTCATGTCCTGCATAAAATTTTGGGCATGAGAAAGCTGTCGCCGCGATGCGTGCCGCGTTTGCTCACTCCGGACAACAAGCGCAACCGTGAGACAACTTCGGAGCAATGTTTGACGCTGTTTAAGCGCAATCCGAAGGAGTTTCTGCATCGTTTCATTACAGTCGACGAAACATGGATCCACTGGTATACACCAGAGACCAAGGAACAGTCGGAACAGTGGACTTTACCCGGCGAAGGTGCTCCGAAGAAAGCGAAGACTGCCCCATCGGCCGGGAAGGTGATGGTCACCGTTTTCTGGGATTCACAAGGTGTGATCTACATCGACTACCTGGAGAGGGGCAAAACGGTCACAGGGCTGTATTATGCCGAATTATTGGGCCGATTCGACGTCGAATTGCAGAAAAAACGGCCCATTTGGCGAAGAAGAAAGTGCTCTTCCACCATGACAACGCACCGGCTCACACCTCCGCCGTCGCCATGGCCAAATTGGTCGAATTAGGCTACGAACTGCTGCCCCGTCCACCGTATTCTCCAGATTTAGCCCCGTGCGACTTCTTTTTGTTTCCAAACTTAAAAAAGTCACTCGCCGGGCAGAAATTTGAGTCGAATGAGGAGGTAATCGCTGCCACGGAAGCCTACTTTTCAGACCTCGAGGAAACGTTTTTTTCAGACGGGTTAAAGAAGTTGGAGCATCGCTGGGCCAAGTGTATCTAACTAAAAGGAGACTATGTTGAAAAATAAAACGCCACTTTTCCAAAATTTTCGTTTTTCTTTTGTAGGCTAAGTACTTATCGGACCATCCTCATATATATATATATATATATATATATATATATATGTAACTTAAAATGAAAACTTAAAATCAAGAAATGTTACATTAACCTTGAAAAAATCTATCAAGGTCATGATAAAATATCAACTTCAGTACCATTGCACTTATACATGTCTATTATGGTCTACATCTATAAAATCTCTAATTACATGAATCGACTTTGACCTCGGTTTCCTCGATGACCTTAGAAAAAAATATTTTTGAAAATTTTCTTCAAGATATTCTTATCGCTCGTTCCATAGACTGCAAAATGATGTTCTTCGTTTAAAAAATTCATTAGCATTTATTTTCGAAACTCAGAAATAGGTTAACAACAGGTATTATTAGGATCGAGCTATTAATACAACTAACTGAAAAAATCATAACACCGACGAGAGAGAGGTTGCTTAGCAACGTAAATGTTCTTTGGCTCTTCAGATGAGCCACGCATAACAATATTATTTTTGTCCATTTCTCTTATGGTGATATT